TCAAAGTTTGATAACCACCATCATCCCCTTTAACTAACTGACGAACTAAATCGATACACACACACATACATATATACATACATTCGGAGATAGGTCTGTATAAATCAACGAGAGAGAAAGAGTGTATTGAAAAGTACCAAGACAAGAAAAAACTAATTGAGTTGCCTCTTTTTGTCAGGCGGCTCAACATCCTCTTTATCCGTGAGTCTACTCATTAAGCATAAGTAGTTATTAATAAGCTCAATTTATTGCCGAATCGGTTGATTTTGATGGCCCCTCTAATTCTATGTTTAGCCACAGACATGCAAAAATGGGCAAAAGGACAAGTTTAATGCGATTAAATCTCATGTACAATTTATTTCGTGGCCTCGGTCGAATGGGACGGCAAATCTCTTTACACATTATGTTATAGTAAACTGATATATGGAAAGATGTAACCCTTTCTTTTTTAATTAATTTGACACTTTGCTGAGGGTTTCGTGTATATGCCAGCACATGAAGGTACATACACACAGACAAACAGGCACACTCGAATGCTTCGGGGTTGCCATATGATTTGAACTAACCAAATCCCTTAATGCCGCACCAAAGAGCTCACATGTCGAGTATGTATTCAGCAGTTACGGATGAGCCGGTGAGTTGGCCTGAATTTGGTCGTAAAGATGTTACCCTGCCCTCATGATGTCCGTCCTATGACAGACGAAAGCTTAGCACATTCTCGCCGGAATGGAAGAATATTGCCTCAAAAAAAAGGTAAAAAAGAACGTTTCAGTAAAGCCATTCGGCAGCTGGTCATCTTCTGATGGTCACGACCTCAGAATCTCTTCACCGAACACTTTTACATGAAATTTAAGCGAGCTTAACGAATACACACATTCCGGAAAGTCATCATTTTCGGGACTAGAGTTCATAGACAGAACTGCCACACTAACAGATTTAGCTTTTAAAGGGGTGAAATAAGGGAAAATAGTGTATGGACAAAATGTGAGAGGAGCTTGTTAAAAAGATCACACTTTTCCGGAAGACATGGGGAAAATGAGATTTTGTAGGGCATGCATAATTGTACATAAACGATAGACATCGTGGCAAAGTTTTCGGGAACAGCTAAAGAGGATAGATAAAGTAACTAATATCAGAAGTACTTTTGAGCAATAAGATGGCGGACGAGGTGCATTTTGCAGTTTAGCTTGAGGCCTCCGTGTCACCATGGCTTACATTAGTTGCGACAACTTGGAGGGAAAGGTGAAGTTTTTTAATTTTGTAACATAACAATGGACCAGCCTATGCATAGGTTTAAGTGTAAAAAATTGGCTGACGCCGCGGGCATTGCGAATGCCAAAAGGAGACGACCCATTGCTGCCGTTTCGGAAGCCGGTTCAAGTGACAGTTTTATTGTTGAGGCTAATCAGTCTTGCGGAACACATGAACACAACAATGTCACTGGTTGGTCCAGTAACCAATGGCTGGGGGCAGAAAACCACCTTCGTGGAGTGTGTTTTTTTGGGTGCAGAGGCCCTCTGGTCAGCGGTGGAGCGTAAAATTTGGCAGACCGAGAGGCCAAGTACAAAGGACACAGAAGATTCGGAAATTGGTGGATGAAAATGATATTCATATTAATTAGGTCTCAAGGCTGTCAGGAAAAAATAAAATAAAATTTCCATTGACCGATAGTTTAGTCCTACTAAAATTCTATTATTGGACCTCATGCTAAAGGCAAATTTCATTTCGGCTTGTTCCAAAAATGCTATTTTCATCCACGAGTTCCAAATGGACTGGATCTCGTCAGGACTTCTTAATAGAAATGGGAATCAAGGCTAAGTCCAATTTAATGGTAAAAAAGTCCTACTCATACAATTGTAAAAAAATAAAACTATCAGTTCTTCATCGCGTCATCACGATCTGATGATAGTCTCGAAACTGCTAATTAAAAATAGGAACTAGTATTTGTCATTAAAATTACCTACTCTACTTATGTCCATAGCTAGTAGGCTTTATAATTAGTATCATAATCTGAACAATAATTAATTTTAGAAGTTGTTTGACCTTGTTTTCGCAACTTGGTCATAATGGTAGGAAGACTGATAG